CTTTATGTTTCTGATTAATGTCTATGCTTGAATATATCGTGTAGTTATACAATATTTTATTTTTAACTTTAAAGTGGATATATCACTCTAAAATCAAATCGAAGATTAGGAATTTTTCCTCTACTCCCTCGTAATAAAGTAGCGGTAGAGCTCCTGGTGAAAGTGTGCGTCCATTGCCACCTTACCTGTTTCCGACGCCAAGCAGTAACATGAGCATTACTGTGGTCCGGTTTTGAAGAGTAAAGGTGCTGGTGAAATTACTGGCACTTGGGACTTGCAGTGCCACTCTGAGTAAAGCAGAAAGTGAAAGTTTTTTACCACAGTTAGGGTGGCTAGAAACCTTGTATGTCTTTTGTAACATGTGTTTTTGATGTCTTTTCTTTGAGCAATAAAGAATTTAATATAAATAACTTCTTTTCTACGATGAACACGTGTTTAGCTTGACATAAAATCATTGACTGTTACATCGTTTTGCATGGCAATTTTAGAAAAATATATTACGTTAAGCCATGAAATGCTCGTCGTGAGAATCATATGCTAACTAATAAAACTCAATTATTTTTATAAGCCTAAAATCAAGGCTCGTGGTTCAGTGTTCGGTTAAATTATATTCATAATTGCAAGGGCTTAAAACGCAAAGTTTTAAGACGATTTGAAACATCGTAATAATATTATTAGAAATGGCTTTTTTTATATAAATTTTCGAGTTAAAGTTAAAGTATATTAACATACTAATAGCATGCTTATCCAAACACCAGTAGAAACAAACAATAATTTCTAATCAGGTACTTAATGAGTTCTAAGCATCGGCGGCGGAAGGGCTGTTAAAATTTTAACGAGGTATTTTATCTTCTGTTTAGTTGCTCGTGGTGTTGAACGTTGAATGAGTGTATTATTGAATATCATGATAGTAACACATCATAATACTCATTAAAATCACAGATAAGTAAATCAACTTTTTTTCTTTTATTATTTTTATGTAAGTGCGCATTTGACCACCATCTCACCTGATGGAAAGTGACGATGAGGTCGACGACGGAGCATGCACACCTAAATAACGCCTATTCACTATCGTCTTGAAAAGGCCCAAGTTATAACGTTCAGGGTACAAATCTGCAGACAGGGATTTCCACTCCATAGCCGCAAGCCATATAAATGTGGAAGCGTAACGCTTCGTGCGAATCTTTGGAATATCCACAACATAGGGATGGAACCCAAGCCTACATCTAGTCCTCCGGTGATAGAAAGGGGAAAGCGGAATTAAATCGTGTAATTCCATCGCACACTCTCCATGATATATCCTGTAAAATACCGATAAATGTTCAAGACCGTGCAGTTTCGTCTCGATTAATTCCGAATCACTTATAAGCCTCTTGACACGGTTATCAATTGAATCCTAGGTGGCCAGTTGGTATGTAGCAGAACCATCCCAAAGGTGGCAGCAGTGCTCCATGCACGACCGGACTACTTGGTTTACTCGTCTGTGATTAAAATCAATATTATAATTGTTTTCTTTTTAATAATAAATCGAGGCGCGTGAGGCCAAACACTATTGATTACATAATTTTACACCTATGAAAATTTAAAATTTTGCAATTATAAAAATTACTTTGTGCTTGCATAAGTAAGCATCTTTGTTCAATCATCAAAAAAAAGAGTTTTAAATGTCATATAGATTAACCATCGGAACTAATAGAATAAAACCTACGACAAATAAAATGTATCTTACCTTGGAGCAGGTAGACTTTGGACAACAATAGTAAGATATCCCTACACATCTGCAAACAATAATTTTTAAAGTTTTTTCTATTCATTTGAATCGACGAGAGCCTCGACCTACAATCACACCTAAAGTACACTTACTTACATACTTTTGTCTACTCAGAAGCAATTTAAAAAATCTGATTCTATTTAGTGCAGTTAAACTTATAATATTACCTACAATCCATCGGACACGTATGTTCAAGAAAACTTGAAAGAAAGACTATGTTGGAACAACGTTGAACTTTCCTGACTAGTATCTACCACGTGTCACGCAATTTCTGCGCTCGTTGAATTCTTGCTGTCCTTTCAACAAAATATTTAAATTCCCATTGCTGCATAAACCAAGACAAAAGGTTAGTTCATACACAATAGTTCATATTACAAGTCATAATTATGTTATCGAAAATATAAAGTTGGTGTTCGTCACACCAATATTCAAATTCGAAATTAAACCACAAGATCTCTTTAGAACACTTCATTAAAATGTGCATAGTGAGAGTGTACCTTAATAATATAAAGTCTAGAGTTATATTAACAATAGAAATTTATAGTAGAATGATGCAATCATAAACTTAGATTGATCAAAGATGTGTTTGGTTCAGGGCAGAGCGAAGGATGCGAGCGGCGATCGATCGCTTTTTGTTTACACTTGTAACTTGTTTTAAAACCGGTTCGAGTTTATAGCGCCACTCTGCCAAAACCCTAAGCTCTAGCGTCCAACTCATTGGCTGACTGATACCGGCCTTAAGAACAACATCCATTGCTTAATAACTATAAAGATGTCATAACAGACCTCTTGGATGGCGAGAAATATATCCTAACAATACTTTTATCATAGTTTCATTGTTGGGTGTGAAATTTGGATAAGAATGCGTTGCCTGACCCGGGTGGTCAGTTTTTAGCTTATGTTAAACAGGTTATTCTGACCAGACGTTTTGTATCGAAAACTAGACATATGTAGGATGCAGTATATGTGCAAACATTAAATTAACTCCAACGCAACCAGTGACTGGTATAGTCATTATGGTTCGTTATATGAGATACTTATCAAACGTTTGGCGTAAATATTTACAATTTAGAGATGGTAACGGGTACTTTTCATGATGATAATGGATAATACGATTACAAATCGCATTTTTTCGAATTTTCTTATCAATACAGAAGCACTTAAACCACTCTTCCCAATCCCAACGATGCTCCACAAGATGTATGGCATTCAAGAACTTAATAGATTCAACTTAAATTAGCAATTTGAAATTTCTGGAACCCTCGTCAGGAACTGTGAAATCCTTCAAAAAGAATTTGTAGGTACTCACATAATCAAAGCGTAATGAGCGTAATGATAGCTGTTAAACAATAAAGATCTCATAGTTTTTGTGTCATGTGTCAGTGTAGACTTCGCTCAGTCAATTGGCAGTAATAACAACAAGTTTATTAAGACCTTGGCCTAACGAGTTGTTATCTAACATCACCTAGCTGCGGGACAATTACATCTTCAATTAAACGAGATATTCACGGCACGTACACGCCATCGCCTGCGCCGCCGCCGTTCTAACCCTCAGGCGAGATATTGATATCGCCTCTATCAACGCATAAAGCATAGTTGACAAATCCACAATTTCTGAACACAAAGTTTTCAAAAGCATGGATCAATTTCAATTATTAAATTCCGTCTGACGGCATAAGTCTGGCAGCTGATTCAACAAAATAACAATAGGGTCGTTTAATGTCGAAAGCAACTTCTAATTTCGCAGCCTAGTAAGCATTCCAGTGCGATGTAAACAACTCTTGATTTTATTTACTTTAGTTTCCCGGTGTTGAATTTCAAAGATGTTGACGTAAAAGTAATTAGGTAACTTAAGATTAAACAAAGTCTCATTTAACAACTGACGTATAAACTTACCGTGTCGTCGTTCATTTCATTGAACAGTCTGTTGTTGGCTAGTTTCTGGTTGAGCGATTTGACGTTGGCGGTGACGGCAATCATGTTTGCGTTGAGCTCGTCCACCTCGAGCCGCAAACGTGTGATCTGTACCTCACGTACTACCGTCAGCACTATCATCCAGATGGCCAGTACACCCACCGACACACCCAGGAACAAGTGCATGTGCCGCCGCCGAGGCTTTTCTATCATAATGTCGTCCCTGTAATGCTTCTCGAAATCACCACTAACCAAATTCTTGGACATGTCCTTAGCATCTTTCAACGCGTCTGTTTGCGTATACATTTTAACGGGATTAGGTATTAGAGCGTGATTATCGGCCATTACAGCCCTGACACTGCACTCGCGAGTGACACTCGATTCGAAATGGACGATCAATTAGTGCAGCCGTTATCGGTCCATTATCCGGGTTCGTGGAATCCCGGGGTGAGGGCGGTGCGCGGATGGGCGCTGTGGCGCAGGTCTGGTCGCAAATATGCACGTGCGCGATGTGGTGCGGGGGAGAGGGGCACACGCGCGTTTGCCTGGACGGGCCGGACTCGAATGCGGGAGCGCGCTGTAATTCGCCCGGCCTGCGCTTGCGCCGCCGCTCCGGCGCCCGCACACCTCACAGCTGATCACTGAAACCCGATTCTTCCCGCATGTCCTCATATTATCCAGGCACTTACGAGACCGTCGATCGATGGACGCATGAAAAATGCATGATATTTGATTTAATACTATTTCAAGTTGACTATAATCATCAATGCCATAAATTTATGTCTTCCGATAGAGTAAAAAAGAGGTGATTTATTCATCATTCACCATTAAAAACTCCGGAGTGAATGGAATAACGATTCTCTTCATGAATAGAACAGCGTGAAACAAAGTACGTCATCTAAATTTATTATTGTCATGTTTAGCCACCCAACTAAATGGATGTTTCATTGTAAACAATTTGTTCGCGTTGATAGTGTATACACATACTCGTACATATTTATTATATTTGGCTCATGAACTTATGACGTAACTTACCTAATTTACATGATACTAAATAACGCTGAATGTTTCTTTATACGAAAACTTGTATTGTGTAAGTGTCAATTGTTGAAAGTAAAATAATCTCAATCCCGTATTAGTGTTCTGTGATCTGTTATAATTTTACTTCGTTTAGGAATGTTATACCTATTTTATCATTTCTATTTCCTCTGTTCGACTATATGTTCTTTTTTTTTATTTATGTTATGCGATAACTCCGGTATTTGTGAACCGATTTTCATGATTCCTTTTTTGTTGGAAAGGGGGTCTTCCATAGTGGTCCCATTTCATTTTGAAGAAAATCATCCACCTCTAATTTCTCTAATTCAAGGCGTTTTTCTCTCAATATACTTTGATTAGTGAGAACCGATTTTTATTATCTCCAGTGTCAAGTCCTGTATAGTAGCGAACTAGGGGATATTTCAATAAAACTTAGCAAATAAACGTAATTCCACGTACTTTTGAGGTCGGTTTTTTTAGTACTCAGACTAATAATCTCAGTACAGAGATTATTTAATGAACATTTTATTATGTACATTTAATATCACAAATTAATTTTAATATTTAAATGGCATTTTGTACAGGAAATTATTGACCTGCACAAATAACCTTAATACAAAAGAAAAAATATATTTCTTATTATTATTAGTACTTTAACGCTTATAGTGTAACGGCCGCTGTACGGCGGTAGATATAAAGTTCTAGATATTGCATTACTATCTCTAAAGATCGCGCTGACGATGACGTCACTCAACCGCGCTCTATCGTATCACGGTCATTCTTGGACTAGTGTTTCAATTTTTATTATTTAATGTTCAAGTATATTATCATTAAATAATATTTCACGTTACAACACTCGAATATTAAATAATATTGTACGATAAAAAAAATCGAATACTTACTTAAAAACATTTATTTTATTTGTTCAGCGTTTCGTGATTTCATTATAACAACAAGAATCTTTCGGCTGTTATCAAGGGAAGATTATTTTGCAAACTAAAATCATAATCTTTGTATATATCTTTAATATCTAGTGTAAAAAGTCAGTTAAAAGGGTTTTTTATGTTATTGACGTCAAAAATTACAAAAAAAAAATTTTCTGCTTTGTCTCAAATTCTGTTTTTTTATATTACAGTGTATTGGATAGCGCTGTCTGCCTTTCAAATACTATACCTTATTGTTGAGAAACTAAGTACTTTGCAACGCCGTGGCGGCACAAGTAACCGACGGCATAGGAAGTGCCGCGTTGCGCCGCGCGGCTTTACATTTTTGTTATTTTGCATTCAAATAAACTTTATTTACTGGAGAATATATTCTATATTTATAAGCACTGAACATAGTATAGGCAAAAGCTTGCCTATACTAGCATGAAGCTTGAGACATTGGAACGTTCTTATCGATGTTAAGTTCTCTTGACCCTATACAAGAAAAGATCTATTAGCACAACTTGCAAGTTCTGTAGAGGTCATCAGTAAAATGTGTATAGAACAAAGTCGTGAAGTTATCAAGTATTAACCACTTAAATACGTGTAATATCTAGTGTAGATGTTATATAATTATTTAATTAATGTAGTTACTAATGAATATCTTTTATATAATGTTTTATATGAAAAACGCGATAACAAAACGTATACCAAAAAGCAACATTGGGGTAGAAAACTTTTCGTCCATTAAGACAGGCCTGCGTCTAATAGGCCGTACTGTCAGATCTAAGATTGTAATTTTTCGTCAATAGTCATTAGTATAATTTTCTGACACTTCAAAATGGAAGCCCAAAATAATTGTTTTATTAAGAACATTATAAATCTTGTTTTGTTTTTCTTGGCTTTTTGCGGCAAGCGTTTTAGTAACTTACAAGGTTTTATACTTTAAAAAACGAAGAAACTTATAACTTTTCCATCCTATAAGCTTATAAGTAACAACACAAAAAGTTAATTTGACATTTATAATCAATCAATCATTTAGATTTACAGTGACAGGAGGTAAGCATAGTTCCATTGGTCTATAACCATAACTACGAACATAATTTTATATGTAAACTTGATCGCAGTAGACAAACTCCTATTTTTAAATTTCACTAAAGAAGTATAGTATCTTACCAACCTAAATATATTATAATGTAAATGCTGTGTTAATGAAAAACACAACATTTTTTAATACCATGATGTCTTTACTAGTATTATATTGATATTGTTTATTTATTGAGAAAATACTCCACTACTTTGTTATTATCATTGATACAAAATCGAACAAACAAAGAACATTTCCTTCGATCCGACTGGACTCGAACATTGCCTCACCGTAGATTCCATGTATCGAAACAATTTTTCTTTGTATTTGTTCGATCTTTGTATCAATAATAACATAAGATCTGTTTCTTCTGAACTAAAATCGATGAGATAGCCAGAAACAATAAGGGGTAGAGATGCACATTACGATTCGATTTATGAAGATCGATTAATGGAATACGATCTAGTGATTTTTCGAATCGACTCATTTAAATGCGATTTTTAAGCGAATCGATTCAAAATTAAGGTGAATCGAATCGTCTAGATCGTATTCATAATATAAACATAAGCCTCGTCTTATTAATGACTTCGTCAAGTACCGATGCAGGCCGACCTCAAAAGTCATTCATCGCCAAATTTACCACACTTGGAGGTCTAATATTTTCTTCAAATTTAAATGGGACTATTCCGAGGTACCCTCTTTCCAACTAAAAAAGAATCATCAAAATCGGTTCACAAATGGCGGAGTTATCGCGTAACATACATACAAAAAAAACATACAGTCGAATTGAGAACCTCCTCCTTTTTTCAAGTCGGTTAATAAAGAGGAGGACAATTCTTAGGACATTAAGTTATATGATATTGTTATGGCAATTAAATGATGTTATAAAGATGTTTAATTATTACAAATTTTGAAACGATTTTTGTGAGATCGATTCAAGAGCACACGATCCGATTCGTGGATCGATACAGGCATATGATTCATTACTATCCAAAAAATCAATTCAAAGCAAAAAATTGTGCACTCCTAATAAAGGGTATAACCACGCGAAAAAGAAATACGTTTAATATTGGTGCAGTACAAAGTGACCATTTATTTAAACAATATAAGAGGATATACAATAAAATTACAACTAACTATTTATATAAATATATTTGTCATAAGTAGAATAATGTATGCGATTTAACATATGCCAGTCACTGACATTCTGTCGTTGCATTTATCGTGCTATTTATTTGTTCATAAAATCACAATGTAAACTTACAGTCACTATGAAAATGTCCACGTGTGGACTACTTGCAGATTTAATACGTTAGGTATGCTTTACACTATTAATTTGCAAATGGTGACAAAAGACGTCAGCATCCTGGACCTCAGAGGCTAGACAATTAACCTCAATTAAATATTATTCAATATCATGATATTTTTACTACCATGATATTCATATATTTTTTATTAATACAAACATACAACAAGACAAAATTCCTTTGATTCCACTTGAACCAGGATATGTGTTTGTTAGATCTCTGTTTTTTCTTTTAACGGATTTTTTGTTATCTGTGTGAAATCTGTGAAGGTTTTTCTCCACTCAACTCCTTACTCCACTAGTTTGTTATTATTAATGATACAAAAATCGAACAACACAAAGAAAGCATCTGTCGCCACACCGGGGCCACCGTTCTTACCAACTGAGCTGCAGACAGACTCAGCAGGTCTTACGAATTTGTCTATGAGCATGTTGCAGATTTTCGTATTGCTTATACGACTTTTCTGTCATCTGGAATATCATTAAATCAAATGGAGGACGGAGGGTGGGGAAACCAAAAACTCTCTAATCAGATGATTTTCGCAATGACGCTGGGATTGCCTGAATAAAAGACAACAGCAGTAAAATTGGATGATGACATTTTTAAGACCACAGGATCAAGGAGATGATGATAATGAACCATATTTTTATCGTCTCGATGGCAACTATAATGTTTAACAAAATAAAAATCATCAAAATCAAATACACACAAAAAGTACAGTCGAATTGAGAACCTCCTCCTTTTTTTGAAGTTGGTTAAGAATGTACAAACAATTGCATGTCAAAGGAGGTTCACAGGTTCAGTGGGACGAATAATGAGTTGATAATGATGATGATGTTATGGAAATAAATAAGGGAGACATAAGATCGGCATCTTATTACAATTGCATTACATGACGCAAGCGTGCATAAGCAGGGACCGCTCCATTTATTTTTTAGTACGGATGCGAAGTGAATTGCGCGCCTGGAACCGAGAGTAGGACGGTCGGTAACACACAGAGCTATCTAAACTTAATCAATCAGGTGGGACAGACGGAATGATAGACGGTAGATACTGGTATCTACTTGTTAGTTCCTGTATAGTTTATCATTATCTTTCAACAAGCATGAAAGTAAAAACCCAGCCAGAAAGTGATATCCTACATTTATAAGAATCCTAATTATTATTGACTTTGGAATGTCTACCATTATTGTTTCAATACATAATTTTAAAACTAAACTAACA